TTTTTTAAAAAAAATTAAAATTTTTATTTTTTGCAAGTAAAACAAATTCTAGACCCAATGGTAAAGGAAATTATCACTTTAATGAACAATTTTCATGAAAAAGAAAGTCAAACAGACACCAAACTTTCAATATTTTTCAAATGAAAAATTATATCAATCAAATACAATTAATTACAATTCTCAATAAAACAATTTTTAGACAATTCAATTCCTTATAATTTATTTTCTTTCCACCCATTTTTCACCTTTGCAATCAAACGGACCCAAGCTATTTGTTAAAATTCCTCATTTATTTATTTCTTCGTGAACAACGACCACTTAAGCGGCCTAAAACCTATAAAAGGGTGGTTAGGGATATTTATTTAGCAATCACACTTTGGATGAGAGCTGATTGTTCGTAAATTAAAGTACAGTGACATGATTATACCTAATTCATATTCAATGACTTGATTGAAGCATGATGAAAGTTTGGTGACCTCCAACGTAATTTTAGATGAGCTAATGTGAGGAATTGGCAAATACATTGATACGCGGTTAGTTTTGATGATACATCAGCAATCTCACTGACGAAACCCGAACATAGTGAGCTGATTGTTGATAAATTAAAATGTAGTGACCCGCTTGCACCAAATTGAAATCCAGTGATCAAATTACAAGTACGATAAAAATTCATTGACCTAATGTGCAATTTACCCTTTACTTCCACAACGACACAACCTCATTGAAGGACTCATTTTCCTCTACTACGTTCCAAAATCTTCACATCCATAAATTTTTACCTTGGATACGTAAAAACTAAAAACTGATTTGTTTAAAAAATCTAAAACTGATTTGCCTAAAAGATCTAAACTGTTTGTCTCAATCCAATTAGGGACATATTGAGTTTGATTTTCATGAACACTAAAACAAAAATCATGCATCTAACTGACAAGATCATCATGCATATGAACGAGAAGTTTGAGCCGAGAGAGAGAGGGTCAATTGATCTTTTGGAGGAAATGCTAAAATCTTTGATCATGGACCTATTAGTAATGATTGTATCTCGAGCCCAGAGTGCATTATCATATTTCTCCTTCATGAAGCGTGATACTAGTTCATAGACTTTACGAGAAACAAAGTTTTTACTTGAATAAAATGTATTTTTGGGTTCAATTTAGCCACGGTGTGATTTATGTACAGGTTATAAAAGTTTTCACCTTGAATTTTTGACCTCAATATATAATTGCATTAGGGTTGCATTTTGAATTATATCAAAGAGTCATCTTCTAAGAATAATGTTATTTACCATTAGTGCTGATTAGCAAGTGATCAATAGCCTAGTTGACAGTAAGTTTTCTAATTTTATTGAAAAAAATTAAGGGTATCACTTTCACGTAAACTGGTGATCAATTGATTATCATCACGTTAATAGCATTACTCGATATAGAATTATGTTTGATTTGCGTATTAATTTTGCTCATCCTGACAATGCAAGCAATGAAAAAGAAAAATCAAGGTCACGAGCAAGTAAGATACTAAATTTATTTAAATCAACATGTAGATAGAAGCTCTCTCATTCACAAGAAATTTTTTTAAAAAAAAATAAACACCCGCCAAATTTCTCTTCAAAGAGCAAAAGATGATAGTAAGCTCACACCTCTTGCCTTTGGGCCTACCAATTACTCCGAAGCTGACCCAATGGGCTACCCTTAGCCACAACAAAAGGCCCAGATTCCAACTGGTCATCCAATCTACACCCATCAAGGACCGTGGTCAATTGATGCGGAGGCGTATCAGTAGCCAACCATTGATCCACGTAGAAAATGGACTGGCTACAGCCTCGGTGAGGCCCAGTAGAAGTCACTTCAACATATTCACAAAACCACCCATGATGGGTCCCCGATCCATCAGATGTCAAATTGAGCCTACAAACAGGCGATTC